AAATTAATTGAAATTGATTTTTTGGTAGGCCTGGTCTGTATTCTCTTTGTGTTTCTTTATTCAATATATTTTTTCTTTATTTTTACAATTAGGCTTGATAATTAATGAACTTCCTGCTTCAACTTTATCTAATTCTATCAGAATTGGACCTCTTGTTTGTTGTAGTATGTAATTACTAAAAGGTTTGTTATTTTTCTAACTCCTATGTAAAGTTTGCCTTGAATCTTTTACTGGATATTGTTTGTTAACATTCTTTGTCGTACTGTACATCGCAATGTCATAGCTTGTAGCTAACCTTACTATATCATATAGAGTTTTAGGTGCATAGTAATTTACTTCTGCTTTATTTGTTTCTTTTAACCTTTCTGTGAAATACATAACCTTATCTGCTTCATACATCTTCTCAATTTGGCCAAGTAGGTTTTGAAATCTTGAAGCATATTCTTGAATAGTCGTAGTTTGCTTCAAGTCTCTTAATTGTTGATGCAGAAGTTGTTGGTGATGTAGTGGTTGAAATGCTATTTTTATACTATCCACAAATGAATTTCAATCTGCAAATAGTTGTTGGTATTCATGGGCTTGTACCTAATTTAGGTACCATTGTAAAGCCATATCCTGGAGTTCTGTAATTACGTATTGCAACCACTCCATATCTTCAACTTTTCTTGCTTTAAAAAGAAGATCGACTTGAAACACTATGTAAGAATGTTTTTGCTATCTTTGCTGCCAAAAAGTGGTAACTAGATAGTTAACTCTTTTGAACTATTATTTTTAGCTTCAGAAATTTGATACTTAGTACTGGCTTGTCTTTCTTGCTGTTGTTGTGTGGTGGCTGCAAAATATTGGTTCAACTGATGTTGACTTTGCAAAAATTGTTGAAAAAGTGTTGTGAAATCAGTAGATGTTTCTTCCATCCCTAGATAATTATCACCTGTTATAGCTTGAGATAGTATTGTTTATTAAAAGAAATCTCCAATTGGTCTTGAAAACTTGTCTTGTTCGGGAAAATATAACTTTTAACTTTGCTGTCTTCATGTTTGTTTATATATTTTATTTTATTTATTTATTATATATATATTTTTTTTATATTAAAAATCTTCTACTGATTTGAAGTTATTAACTTAGGTCTTTATTAAGAAGTAAGGTGTCTATACTTCCGCATTTTATTTACTTGACTAATTGTAATTTCTTTCGTTAAGACTTTCTTAAACTAATATAGGAAACTTTAAATAATCATTTTGGTGAGAATTTTTTTCTACTACTACAAAGTATAACCAGACCTATTTATTGTAAGTATAGATTAATCAAGAAAAAATATATTGAATAAAGAAACACAAAGAGAATACAGACCAGGCCTACCAAAAAATCAATTTCAATTAATTTTTATCATACATTATACAATTAAAATCAATTAAAATTATCATGAAATTAATTGAAACCCAATTAATGATGAAATAATTGCAATTAATTGCAATTTTTTGTGTAAAGCGATGTCTGATGTAATCCGATTTTTAAACAGCGAAAAATCCAAAATCGCATTTATTTGCTGTGATTAATGGCGGATATATATGTAATCCAATTACGTAAAATTGCAATTAATTGACCAATTATGACTGTGCCATCAATCAATTAATTGAGTTCGAAATATTGCAATTAATTGCCCTACAATCAATTATTCGGTAGGCCTGATACAGACAGAAAGGACTATGCACCTGTGGTAAGAAAGGTTATACTGCAAAAGAGTATCAAAATAAAGATCGAACAAATAATAAAATTAATAAGCTAAAAAAATAAAATATAAAGAAACAAATAAAGGATGAAGAATTAGTAACTATAATAAGTCAAACAGAAAAAACCTTCTAAAGGTGGAAGCAAAGGTTCTAAAAAAAAAGACACTTATTTTAATTGACTCTGGAGCGTCTAAAAATTTCATAAACCTCCAGTTTGTAAAAAACTTTCAACTAAAAATGAAAAAAGAAGAATTGGGCTCCACAATAGTAAAATTAGCTAATGATTCTTTATATACTTCTAAGAGAATATAATAGACATTGTTATTGAAATCCAAGAGTATAAGAAAAAAAGAAAAACTATAGAAACTATACTCTTACAAAAGTATGATCTGATTTTAGAGAAACCATAGCTTTTTGACAATAATCCCTACATTAATTAGAGAAGTAACAAGATGAAAATAAAAAAAGAATATCATACTTTTGTAATTAAGGCTAATGAATTAGAAGATACAAAAGCATGCTAGTTAATCTTTGTAACAAGAAACCAATTTGTTAAAGAGGCCAAAAGTATAGTGGACTTATACACAGTACTTTTTGCCCAAATTTTAAATAAAAATCTTACACCAGATCAAATACCAGAGTTTTTAAAAGATCTGGTTCATAAATATAAGGATTTATTTCTAAAGATCTTTCAAATAAGTTACTACCTAAAAGAAATATTAATCACAAAATCCTATTACAAGTAGAGAATTCTTAGCCATATGGCCTATATACCAATTATTAATCTCTGAGATGAAGGAATTAAAAAGACAAATTGAAGATTATTTGCACAAAGATATAATTAAGCCAAGTATATCACCTTATGGGCTCCTGTTTTATTTGTATAGTATCGGACAGCAAGAAACATCTACTTTTTATATATAAATATAAAAATGCTTATAACTTACAAACAAATAAATTTAAAAAAATCCGTCTTACAGATTTGTTGCTTTTAGTCTAAGCTATAATTCTGTTAGAATAAATTTTTATTTTTATTATAAATTTAAAAAGTTATTAGAGTCTAAAGTTACTATATAATCAAAAATTTGACATTTAATATCTAAAAAAATTGGTTTATAGATTTTTAACCAATCAGAATCTTGTTACACAAAAAATAGCCAATTAGATTTGAGTATAAATCTCAAGATTTGGTACTTTTAAAAAAATAGGATGTTTCCTACTGTTCAGTACTATAGCAAAAAAAGAAAAAACTTTTAGAATATGCATTGATTACAGAGACTTTAACAAGATAACAATAAAAAAACTAGTATCTCTGCTATGTATAGACAAATTAATTGATTAATTGCACAGAACAAAATACTTTAGCAAAATAGATCTTCATTTTGGTTATCATCAAATAAGAGTAAAGAAAGAAGACGTTGATAAAACTGTATTTAGAACAAGATATAGTCACTTTGAATTTCGAGTTATACCGTTTAGGCTGACAAACACACCTGCTTCTTTTATAAGACTGATGAATAATATTTTTAAGAACCAGCTAGATAAAGGCATTATCATTTATCTAGATGATATATTAGTGTATAGTAAAAATAAAAATAAATATTATAATCATATATATCAAGTCTTCGAAATTCTGTAGCATCATAAGCTGTATAGAAAAATGTTCAAATATGAGTTAGAGAAAACCAAAGTTGAGTTTTTAGTTCATGTCATATCCAATAATAGAATCAAAGTAGACCCCAAAAAAATTATTGCCATTAAAAAATAGTCTGTATTGACTAATATTTATGACTTTCATTTCTTTTGGGGTCTTGCAAGTTACTACAACAAGTTCATAGCAAACTTTTTAATTATAACAACCCCATTAACCAATTTACAAAAAAAGATAAAAAGTTTAAATAAAACAAACTACAGGAACAAGCATTTAAAGCCCTTAAAAATGCGTTAACCTCTGCTCTAGTTTTATTAATATCTAACCCTAATAAGCTCTTTTTAGTAACCACTGATACATCTGATGTAGCAATTAGTACAATCTTATACCAGGATCATAGAAGAGGAGACCAACCTGTAGCCTACAAGTCGAGGAAGTTAATACCAGCTGAATTAAACTATCTAGTACATGAAAAAGAACTTTTAGCAGTCATATATGCTTTAAAAGTTTGGAGGGTATATTTAGAAAAGCAATTATTCCAAATAACTACAGACTATGAGTTACTAAAATATTTGCAATTTCAGACCAATTTATCTTGACAACAAGCCTATTGGGTTGAAACACTCCAAGTATATAACTTTATCATTAAATATTGATCAGAAAAATCTAATATTGTAGTAGATACTCTATCAAGGAAACCCAAAGCTAATATTATTAGCAAAATTAATATAGATGCAAATATATATGAAAGAATAAAACAAGACTATGAAGAAGATACTTACTTTTAAAAAATTCTAAAAGCATTAAAAAACCTAGTTGTGATGAAGCAAAAAAGTTAGACAAACAATTGAATCATTTTGAATTACAAGAGGATGAGTTAATTTTTTTTAATGAAGATAAAGAAAACCCTTGGTTGTGTCTTAAAAAAATTTTAAAATATGTATATTGTTGCTTAAAGAATAACATGATTTGTGTAGCTATTTTGGATTTGAAAAAACATATAAAGGACTAAGATAGCACTATTACTAAAAAGGAATGACAAAGAATATAAAAAAATATATATGTAGCTATAATAGCTACCAACATAATAAAGGCTCTATACAAGCTCTAGCAGGGTTGTTACAATCTTTAAAAATTCCTATGCAACTCTGAGAAGTAATTTCAATAGATTTTATTATACACCTGCTATATGCAAAAAATGGTAATGACTCAATTATAGTGGTAGTAGATAAACTAAATAAAAAGGCTCATTTCTTATCTACAAAAAAAACTGTATTAGCAATAGAGATAGCATAGCTCTTTTTTATAAAATATTCAGATACCATAGCTTACCTCGATATATCATTTCAGATAGAGACCCAAAATTTACAAGTAAATTTTGGAAAGACCTCTTTAAAATCTTAGGAGCTGAGTTAAAAATGTCTACTGCTGTGTACCTTCAAACTGATAAACAAACAAAATGTATGAATCGAATACTTGAAAAAGTTTTTTGTGTCTATGTAAATTATAAGCAAAATAATTGGGATTAACTCCTAACAGCCGCTGAATTTGCTTACAATAATTTACTACAATCCTCTACAGAGTTTACTCTTTTTTAGTTAGATAATAGCTATCATCCTATTACTCCTCCTAGTTTAATAGTTAGTAATCATTAACAGACTAATGTAAAAGCAACACAAGAATTAATGGAACATTGGGTAACAATGATTAATGTTGCAAGAGATGAATTGGTAAGTGCTCAGGAAAAACAAGCATACTACACTGATAAGTAAAGGCACTATAAAGAATTTAACAAAGAAGATTTAGTAATATTGAATACTGCAAATTTAACCTCATCTGAAAATTCGAAACATCCAATGAAAAAACTTATACCAAAATTTATCAGACCCTTTAAAACTATAAAGAAAAGTTCCACCACAGCTTATTAATTAGAATTATCTGACACCTTGAACATTTACCCAGTTTTTCACATTTCACTATTGAAGTTGTACCACCAAAATGAGTTTGAAGAAAGAAATATAGTGCAGCCTCCACTCTTGATCATTATAGAACACAACTTAGAACCAGAATTCAAAGTCAAAAATATATTGAACAAACATATTTTTCACTAACAAGTCTAATACCTTGTAAAATAGAAGGGTTACTTGCTTTACAATACTATTTGAAAACCTATAACAAACCTTAGAAACTGTAAAAACTTGGTAAAAGTATTCGAAGAAAAAGGAGAAATTGTTTTAAATAGAGAAGAGTGTAAGAGTTTAGATGTAGATTATATTAATAGTATAGCATAAATCATATGCTACATGATTTGCATAATGAACAAATCAGGATCAATGAATACGAATCACATAACTGTATCACAAAAGGATACATAATAGACCTGACTAAGTCAGAGCCATATCGTGGTAGTAGTAGCAATCTATATTATGTATATTAGTAATATAGTAATTAGTAGTATTAGTAGCAACCCATGTTATACGTATTAATAATGTAGTAATTAGTAGTATTAGTAGCAACTATGTAATGCGCATAA